TCCTGCTCGCGGTGATGAACGCGAGTATGTCGGAGGCGACGCGTAGCGACCTCGATTTTCGGAGTTATCGTCTCTCCACGAGTTTTGAGTCGTCGTACGCTTTGTTGGAAGGAGTTTGAACGAGACACGTAGGGCGATCCTGGAGATCGCTCTGTCCGTCTGCCGGTTAGGATCTGTTCGCCTATTGTTCTCAGGCCGCACGGGTGTAGAATGCGCTATGGGTCGGTTTATGGGGCGCAATTCCGCTTTATTTAGGAATCGGTCCGGTCGGCGCGGTGCCTCAAAGCGTTCCTTATCTAGCTCTCGCCGTTTCGCTAAAGTCTTCACGTGAGCAAATGCCTCGGCTGGCCTCGTGTAATGCTCAGGTCTCAATTGTAGTCTGTATTCTAAAGATAGTCCCTCGCAAAATGACCTGGCCGTGAGCATGTCTATATTGTTACTCATCGCGTCGGTGATGAGTCCGTTAGCGCGGCGTTCTGCGTCTAAAATTAATGATCGCAGTTCTTTTATCCGCATTATGTAATCGAGAATATGCTCCCCGGGGAGTAAATAGATGGTGCTGAGCTCTCCGCGGATTTGGTCAATAGTCTTTGGTGATCCGTTAAAAGATCAATTAGTTGTATGACTGTGTCGCATGGTTCGCCCTCGACGGCGTAATATGCGCGTCCACGGAGTTTATTTGTTAGTAGCCGTGTAAGATTGCTTTCGGACGAAGGAGGTACCGTTTCTTTGGCTCTACGGCATGCTTGAGCGAATTTCGCGAGGGGTATATTATGCCCATCAAAGGATGGGACTGGCTCTAAGGTCTCACGAAAAGAGACGCGTGGCGGTGCGTCGTAATTATAATCAACCACGTGGGGTGGAAGGGTATTCGTCTCGGCATTTCGTGCAGCGTCATGCAAAAACGGTGACGGGCTCACTTTTATATTGCGCAATTCTTGCTTTAGCTCGGCGATTTCCCGAGCAACGTCGAAAGCTGAGGTTTGATCGAAATCGTTGTCGTGCGCTGTGTCGGTGCGTTTGCTCAATTCGAGCTTTCTACTCGAGATTTCATTACGGTCTTTCTCGATTTCGCGACGCGTCAATTCTTGCTCCACTCTAAACTCGTCGCGGGCGCGTTGAAATTCCTCGCGATCATGTTGCATAGCATCGGCTTACTCTCTCATACGCGATTCCCGTTCGTTAAGCCTTTGTCGGATCTGTTCGAGCTCTGCTTCTGAATAATCAGATTTAGCGTCCTTTTTGCTCCGGGTGTCCATGGCGGATCCTAGCGGATCTCACCGCTGTCACCAAAATTGTTGTTACGTTCCAGCCGACCGCGGCTGCGCGGGTATGATGCAGTGCTCGGGCCGTGCTGCCGGAACCGGATCGCTTTTCTTTTAAGGTCATTCGAATCTGCGCGATTCTCCTCAGGGATCCACGCGATCCTAGATTCGCCGAACTGTCCGCGGAGCAAATTTAGAGCGGGTGCATGCACGCTATTACGAGCAAGTAAGAAGATAGCGCCGTTGGCGCCAAGTACGGATTCTGACTTACCGGCTTCCGCGCCTAAGGGCTATCGCACACAAATTGACATAACTGCATATGCATAGCATAAGACCGTATGTACCAATGAGCATCGAGTATTAAGTCGCTATATTGGTGTTCGATGCTTAATATTCGATGCTCATTGGTTCATACGATCTTATGCTATGCATATGCAGTTATGTCAATTTGTGTGCTTGTGTGCGATAGCCCTAAGTCTCGAAGGTGTCGCTCTTATGGTCTACACGCGGTCCTATACTGCAGCTCCCGTAGTGGTGTAGTCAGGAACTTCTCCGGCACAATGTCGAGGGCGGCAATTCCCGATGGTGATTTTTACTTGAGGGTCACTTACCGCACTCCCGGCATAAACCGCGCGTTTAAGATTAGGATGTTGAGTTACGGCCCGGAGTTAGAAACGTAGAGTTTCACTCGGGTTTTCGAGATGGTGGTTCTGACGCAATTAGGAAAGGAGGGACCTTGCTCGGGAGTTATGAAATCAAGAGTTGATTTTATATAATAACTATATATTTTAATAGTAGGGATATACAAAGTCCTAATTCTAGAAGAAATATTCTATAATAATCTAGGATGAGAGTTTATAATGATTAGGATAAGATTATGCAGTCTAGTTAGTAGATCTTACGAAGTTCTTAAGAATTGAATTAGAATTAGATTTAGGATTATGATTGGGAATTCTCCAGCCAATGCTGGAGACTTGAGGGATAGAAAGGTGTTCCGACGCCTCCGCGATTCACCTCTACTACTGACTGCCTCACGACTTTCTACTCTCCTATCTTTCCCACCGGATTTCCTCTAGTGGGGTGGGGATTCTAACTTGGCGAAAGCGCCATCTACTTACACCCCTCGAGAGGAGAGACGGTTTAGGTTCTACTGGCTCTTCTACCTAGGGCGTACTCGGTAGAAAAAAAGAAATGTGCACCGGTATTGTCGGACATAACAGGAATATAAGTATATTTTTGTAAACATTATGATTTTCTCATTTTTTACCTTTGCATAATAATTCTCAGTATTTGATTACTATCAATATTTAACAGTGATTTTATTATCAGTATTCACCAAAAATTAAGTACTGGAAAAAAATTACTGAATTACTGGTAATATTTAATCACTAATAATTTTTCAGTATTTCTTAGTATTATATTTCTATAAGGGAGGTTCGCAATAGGGGTAGGTTCGCAAATTGTTTCGTTCATGTACTTATTATGAAACAAACAATTCGAGTGGAATTATAAAACATTTTGTTTAGAGTAAAGATACTTATCTCCAATTTTCATTACAATCGCGCAAATATTACAGGAAAAAACTTATTTGAGGTCAGTTGAGTAAAGTTTTAGACGTCTCGAAATATTCTCCTTGCATTTTCTATTATGAATGAATGAACTGGTTATGTAATATAAGGTGTAGTAAAAAGAAATCCATTATTTTTCCAATAGATGGCTTTAGTAATGTGTATCTCACGTTGTATAAGTGCGATCGGTTTACGCTAGATGGCATTAGAAAGATAAGATTTCGTACAAAGAAAACTTCTCAGACAGTTTTGTGATTGTTTGACTCAGTATTGTTTGAGCGCGCGTCAAAGATGGACACCAGCAAAGAGAAAATACGCCATATTTCAGTTTTTCTTCGATAAAGGCGAAAACGTAAGCCAGGCGGCTGAAAATGTGAATAGTGTTTATGGTCCTGATACTGTAACAGCCAATCACACGCAATTTTGGTTCCGTCGATTCCGTTCCGGTAATTTTGATGTCAAAGATATACCACGCTCTGGAAGGCCAATTGTCGAAAATGTCGATAAAATAATGGAAATCGTCGAGTCCGACCGTCATGTAAGCACTGTTTCGATTGCCTAGAAACATTGCACAAAAAACTGTTTGGAACCACTTGAATAAGGCTGGATACAAAAAGAAGCTCGATGTATGGGTGCCACACGAGTTAACTCAAAAAAACCTCATGACCGAATTTCCATCTGCGAATCGCTGCTGAATCGCAGCAAAATCGATCTATTTCTGCAGCGGATGGTGACTGGTGATGAAAAGTGGGTCACTTACGACAACGTCAAGCAAAAACGCCCAGATAGCATAGAGATGAACAGAAGTTCCTAGAGAATGCATTTTAAAGAATAGATATAGAATTAGAAAAATGAATACCCGAAGAATTCTTGAAGAATTAACCACAGTAAGTTCGTCTTGAAATATTCCTTAGGACTTTATTATAGCGAATACTTCGCAACTTAATTCCTAGAACACTTTGAGAATTCATTAGGAATTAGGGCTAAGGCAGAGAACGAGACGTAAGCGTCGTAGACATAAAGTAAGGCAGAGAAAAATGTAAGCGTAAGGTTAAGGGTGCCGTCCCATTGAGCACGGATCGGAACGCCGGATCGGATTTCTTACTATAAGGGTGCTGTCCCATTGAGCACGGATCGGAATACCGGATCGGATTCTGCTAGGGAATACTAGTGAGTTTTTGTTTCTGTTACTAATTCCGATCGGAACGCGTATATTTCCTCAATTCCGGACGGATCAGGCGGATGTTCCTCTATCCGCGCAAGTTTTAAAATACCATTGTATTGAAGAAATACCATCGGAGTGGTTGGCTTTATTACGAGTTTTTTCTATTTACATAGTGCACGTTCAAGAAATCTTTCACATAACAACAAGCCGAAATGAGTACCAATCGTGGAGAAGGGCCGGTAATAATAATTTTAAAATGCATTGTTTATTATTCTCAGGTAGCAGGATGACGTACAAAAACATTTTAATAATGTATAACATATATAAATGTTTTAATATTTATGTTCACGTCCAGAGACGTCATAGAAATGTTATTAATACGTATCCTTGCTATTTGGGACATTTATTAATTATTATTATTCTAAATATATCATAAAATTATGTTCGTGTATTTATAGGTTATGTGGTAGTTTTGTTCGTTTATCAAAAGAAACTTGAAATTGACATTTATATTGAAAACAATTATATAGAAACATTGATAAATTACATGATAGTAATACTTTCTTTTATATTATTAAACATTATTTGAAAGTATGCATGTGAAGTTTTTTCATAATACAAGGCCTGTTCTTTGTAGCTGCACTGCTGAACTGGTACAATTGGTTAAAGTGACAAAAATATATGTGCTACAAATATGTGTCTACAGTACAACTACAAAGAACAGACTTTTAGTTTCACTACATCTTTTTTTTACATAGCTTTTACCATATATTTTTCAACACATCATTTTTTCAATATGGACAAGATATCAAAAATTATACAATTCATGTTACATGTATTCATTTATAGGCTGTAAAATGCGGTTATTGTGGGTGGATAATGCATGGGTCCTGTGCGGAGATTCAAACTCATAACTGCTTCAAAAGTTATGATGAATATGAACATGTCGGGAGCGGTGCACTTGGACACGGTGCATTTGGACACAGCCAATCACAGCACCGTGTGATTAGAGACATTTGTAGGGTCCCTTGGAACAGCGACTTGTGATTGGACTGTGTCCAATTGCCCCGTGTCCAACTGATATACACCCGAACATGTCATTGTTGTCGACAAGAAAGGACGTGCTACAATGAGTAATTTTATTTGCAAGAAAATATTTTTCAACATTTGTCTGCAAATATTAACTATATTCAATAAGTATACTTATTTATGTAAATAGGAATGAAGGAAATAGAAGGAAATACACAGAAAAACGCATCATTAGAGACTAGCAATGAGTCTATTCCATACTTAGCAGACATCATGGATGAGATGCTCATCGATGCCGTAGAGCGGAGACAAGGTTTATGGAATCAAAAGTTGCCAATTCAAAAGCGAAACCCAAGTGTACGAGAAGAGTTATGGGATGAAGTGTTTAATAATCTTGGTAATATAAAATTACCAATTTTATCAAAAATTATTTATTTTAGTTTTATGTATTTATGAATATATATTTAATTTGTGCTTTCAATTTGACGGTTTCGACGTCGATTCGGCATCATTTTGACGTCAATTGACGAATTATTTCTCGCTAGGAAATGGCTAATACACATTTGTATTCATGTAACAAGCTGAATTCGCAATCTGAACTAGGGATTTTCAGGTTTTAAGGATGTAACCTGGCTAAAATCTCGATGGACATACTTGAGAGACTGCTATTCAAAAGCCCGCAAAAAAGTTAAAGGTTACGTACGCAGTGGATCAGATGCAACAGCAAGACATCCACAGAAAAGTACATTCCGCTTTTATGCAAGAATGCAATTTTTAGACGAAGCTGCACAAGAAACCCCGTACGTAATAACTTATCTTATATATAAGCTTTAGAATATGAAAAATGTAATATATTTTTCTTATATATTTTTGTTGTTCAATTTTAGTACAACGAGCTCTTTACCACGAAACATGTGTCGCGAAGAAAATAGCGTATTTAATATAAACGATTTGGAATCCCAAGAATGTAATTCGTTTTCTTCAAGAAATTCAAGCACGCCAGATATTCCCGAAAGATCAGAAAGTTTAGCCGATGACAGACCAACAAAAAGAAAACAAAAAGGTAAATGTATATAAAATAATCGATAACCAATACGTGTCATAGATTTTCATAATTGATACATCTTAATTGTATATAACTTAATGAATTGTTATATTGTGCTGATTCTTCATAGAAATTTGTTGCAGTATTTTATTAGTCTTAAATTAATCTTTTCTGTGCATTTTCTTATATTTATACTATTTTTCTAGCATTTTATTAATGTTTTATTATATGTAATTGTTTAGCTTTTCTAGATAATCGGTTTTGTTTAACAATGTATGAAAATGTAGGAAAATTCATTACTTTGAATGTATTAAATAAAATTTTTCGTGTTACAGCAAGAAACTATGATCCAGATGTACAGTCATTGCATAATAACATATTGCAACAGTTACTCTCTGAAAATATGCCACAGAAGGATGCAGTAGACAGTTTCCTGGAGCAAGTAGAAGATATCCTACGTAGATTGAGTTACCTTCGAAGAAGGCATTTACAAGTAGAGCTGCTGCGTCTTGTTCATAAGGCAGAAGACGAAGAATTAGCGGAGGCGGAACTTCAAAGACGTTAATGTTAATTTTTGTATCATTATCATTACATTTTTATTTGTATGTATTATATAAATTGTATAAATTATACAATAAATTATATATTACATAATAAATAAATAAAACATTTATTTCTATTTCAATATAATCTAAGGATATAATCAAATATCATAATATATAATAGAATAATACATAATATATCATTTAATACTCATTGTTTAGAGCTTTTCTCCACTGCCAATCAAGTGGGTTCGAAGTTTCAAAATATGTAGCAAAAGCGTCTCTAATTCGTATAGCTTCAACGTTCCTTCGCGCACTACAATTATATGTTTTCAATACCAGTTGATGTTCGATCATTGCCACTTAAAACAGAATAAATTCTTTCCGTTGCCTCTAATTGAAGTTCGTGTTTCATTATAAAATTATGTACAGCTGTTGCAGATTGAACGGCTAATTTGGCGGTTGAAACGTGAGCGATAATTGGCCGACGAAAAATTCGCCATCTTGCCGCTAATATCCCAAATAAACATTCTACAGTTCTTCGCGCCCGACTCAACCTGTAATTAAAGATTTTCTTCGTAACAGTTAAGTTTCCACGTGGATATGGCCTCATCATATAAGATGTTAGTGGAAACGCTTCGTCCCCTACAAGGACATATGGAAATTTAAATCCGCTACTATCTAAATGCCTGTTCGGAGGCAGTTGAAGTGAATTCGTATCTAATAAACGAGTAAGATCACTGCTAGCAAATACACCAGCATCGCCACGCCTCCCTTCTGCTCCGATGTCCACGATACTGAAGCAACAATTCGCATCACTCACAGCAAGTAGGTTGATACTGTGGTTACCTTTGTAATTATAGCAGGACGAGCCACTATTCGGTGGTGCCTACAATTAAAAAGAATACAAAAATGTCAGATTTATTAAAAGTGTATGAAAAATAATAGTATCAGATATGTACCTGAATAATAATATGCTTCCCATCTATAGATCCAATGCAGTTTGGAAATTGACAGATTTCCTCAAATTTATCAGCAACTTTTTGCCAATTTTCAGCGGTGGGTTGCAGAAAAACTTTATCCTTCAAGACCTCCCACAATGCAGCACAAGTTTCCCTTACGATTTTGGATGCTGTATTAGGTGCAATATGAAATGCATATGAATGAGATGCTAAACTGTCACCAGATGCTAACCAACGCAAAGTCAACTGCAATCTTGTACGAGGTGAAATTGGGATTCGACAAACTTCTTCTTTCTGAATCCGTGGTCTAACTAACGTTAGCAATTCTTCAAATAATTCCGGAGTCATTCTGAAGTAATTGAAGAACTTATCACGATCAGTCCTTTGCATCTCAACAACTAAATTGTCACTTGCACCTTGTAAATGTCTCATTTCGTGCGTAAACATTGGCCGTACCCAGAATTTCCGTTTCATTTTTCTGATTTTGCAATAAAACAATGTAACCTAAATACAGCTTTCGTATTCTCTTCAACACCGACACAGCACGCCAAGTTGGCAAATTGTTCACCATTCGCAGTATTTTTAACATGACTAATAACTGTTTTTTCCTCCATCGATGTGTTTCAAGATATTATTTTCAGCCACGTTACAATTTTTCTTCTTTGCCAATCTATGGACCTCAATGAGTAACGCCTCCAAGCCAAAATCTAGATATAGAAGAATGTTTATAGATTTAGCTAAAAACGCCAACAGTTCGCCAAAAAAAACTCGGTTCCAACAGGCACTTCCACGTTAAAATTGTTAAATGATACTAAATATTGTTTACGTTTCTTTCATACTTTCCTTCTCAATTCAACTACG